GACAGAGTGGGGAGCAGAACAAGCAGATCCACTGAAATACACTGCTGAGGGGAGCAGTAGGTAGGTCAGGAGCTGACTAGTCAGGAGCTGTCTGCTACGCCATGTGGGTCAGCTCCTTAGCTGGAGATTGAACTCATACTGCAGTGGCTGTTGATACCTCGAAAGCCCTGAGATTTAACTCCTGCACCACCAGGGACTCCCCAAGGGGGCAGTTCTTACTAGATGCCTGGCATTGTGCAAGGCATTATACCTGAATTATTAGCTTGTCTGCAAACTGCCTTCAGAAATGATTAATCATGTTCTCATGTTGACATCCTATTGGAGCAGAGAGGAGAATAGTATTAAAACTTGGGTTGGGGGCCCTCCCTCGTGACGCAGCGGGTTAAAACACAGCACTAAGAAGCTAAAGCCACTTCAGCATGAGTTCAATCCCCGCCTTGGGAGGTGATCCACATGGCGCAGCAGACCACTCCTGGCCCGCCCACTGCTCCCCTCAGCGTACTTCATCAGTTGGCCTGATCTGCTCCCCACTCTGTCTGGTGAATCCTTTCTCCGCCCCTGCACCTCTGGCCTTACGCCAGCTATGTATGCATAAATAAATAAACCTTTTAAAGAATCCAAAAAAAAAAAAAAAAAACAGGTTGGAAGAGCACATGGGTCTGTGGCGATGGCACGTGGGAGGTATTACAACAGAGATGAAAAAATGTACAAAATGAAGAATGATGTAAAAAAATATATATGTGTGTATATATAAACTGTTTAAAAAATCATGTCCCCGTGTTACAGAGGGATAAACTGATGCTCATAGAGTACATGTCATGGTAGAGTCATACAACTAATAAATAAATAGAGCTGGAATTATATTTAATTGATGATTCCAAAACTCACACTCAGCACAGTGCCTGCAACACAGCAGGTGCTCAGTAAATATATCAGCTGATGCTGTTTTGCTAGCCAAGATAAGTTATGCCAAATGCCTAAACAGTGACACTGTAGATAAATATTGCTGCTTTGTGAGGAGACAGAGAGAAGCTAGAAATGGGCCATATGTGAAGAATTCATGGAAGGGGTCTTATAACTGTGCTTTGAATGGAAGATAGAATGTTGGGAAAGAAAAATGTCTTGGAGGTTGGGAAAATGACATGTGCACATCTCTGAGGACAAACATATCCACAGTATATACAAGAATCAGAGAACATTGTAGCTGAACTGAAAGACAGAATTCACTGCATGGTGTAGTGGGAGGAGGCTGGGCTGATGGGTTCTATCAGCCTGGAGAGATTGGATTAAAGATTGAAAGCAGGTTTTGAGATAGGTGAGTTATGTGCCATGATGCCTTAAGGAAAAATAATTTGATACCTAGATGAAATGAATTACAGGAGGGGGGCGGGACTTCTGAAAGACTCTTAGGGCAGAGGTAGAGTTATAAAAAAATTCTATTTCCTGGTGCTGGGAAAACTGGGAAGCTACATGCAAAAAAATGAAACTAGATCACTACCTCACACTATACACAAAAATCAACTTAAAGTGGATTAAAGGCCTAGATATAAGAACAGAAACCATAAAATATCTGGAAGCAAAGATGGGCCAAACACTCCACGACATACACTTCAGTGCCATCTTTAAAGATAGAGCATCCAATGCAGTGATACTGAAGGCAAGGTTAAATAGATGCGACTACATCAAGTTAAAGAGCTGTGCAGCAAAAGAGACATTACAAAAGACAGACATCCCACTGATTGGGAAAAAATTTCTCACACAAAACTAGTGATAAAGGATTGATCACAAAGATATACAAAGAACTGATGAAACTCAACAAAAAATAAAGTAAACAACCCCATCAAAAAATGGGCAGATGAGCTACAAAGACACTTTTCCAAGGAGAAAATGCAGATGGCCAACAAGCATATGAAAAAATGTTCAACATCACTTATAATAAGGGAGATGCAATTTAAAGCCACAATGAGATACCACCTCACACTAGTGAAAATGGCACATCTTTAAACAACTAGCAACAACAAATGTTGACGAGGATGTGGAGAAAAAAGGAACTTTCCTGCACTGCTGTTGGAAATGTAAACTAGTACAACCACTATGGAAAACTGTTTGGAGGTTCCTCAAACTGCTAAACATGGAGCTTCCCTACAACCCAGCAATCCCATTCCTAGGTATCTACCCAAAAGACACAAAAACACTGATTCAAAAAGATACTTGCACCCCCATGTTTATTGCTGTATTATTTACAATTAGAAAGACATGGAAACAACCCAGATGCCCAAAAGTGGATGACTGAATCAAAAAGATGTGGTACATATATACAATGGAATATTACTCAGCAACCAAAAAAAAAAAAAAAAAGAAACACATGCAGCAACATGGATGGAGCTGGAAAAGATCATGCTTAGTGAAATAAGCCAGAAAGAAAAGGAAAAATACCAGATGGTTTCACTCATAGCAGGAGTATAACAGAGAGAAAATAATAATAATAATAATAACAAATAGTTATATACCAGAGACAATTGAGACAATTTATGGGGGTGGAGTGGGGAATGGGATCAAAAACAGTGGGGGGAGGGAAGTGCACTGGACTATGGTGATGGCACACTGGTAATTTGGTGATGGGAAGCCCAAGGGGATTACAACAGAGATGGAAAAATGCACAACTTGATGCAAAAAAAAAAACCAACAGGAAAAAAATTCCATTTCCCATGTAGTTTCACTTTTCTGGGCTAGTTTCCTCTAGCACTGGTAGTATGGATGAGGGTCTTTTTGCAGAGAACTGCTATGGGGACTCAGTAAAATCATCACCATATAACACCACTGTCACTACTGCAGTTAAAAATAACAGCAGGGCCTCACTGGTGGCCCTGGGGGTGTCTCAGTGCTATCATTGCTGTGGCCTGAGTTCTGTCCCTGGGCAGGGAGTTCTGTCCCTGGTCTGGTCCAGCAGATGTCTCCTGCCTTACCCGCTCCTCCTCTCACCAGTGTATTTCAGTAAATACACCTCTTCTGCACCCCACACTGTCTTTGGTGAATTTTCTCACCCCCTGAGCCTCTAACCTACACCCCAATTCTTCTATAAATAGTAAATAATAAATAAAGGTATATAAACAAAGAATCACAGCTGCATCATCTCTAAATCCTGTGAGCCAGGCACTTTGTATCAATATTGAGTATATTTCTTGTAACCCTGCTCATCCCATAGCTTAGAGTTTATACAGATAATACCCATTATCCTGGGAATAATCAGAAGGATAGGGAATCGATGCAAGAACTTTTACTTTTACAGAACTTAGTGGAGTTTTGTTGCTGCTTTTGTTCTTAAAAGGTATGGTGAGCTTCCACATTCTCACTTGTGTTTTCATAATGGCTTTATTTAAAAATGTTTTCAAAAGGCTGGAGGAAAGTGCAGTTTGGGAAAGGATGTAACTCTTCGATGCTTTTTGTGTGTCCCTCACAGATAAGTTTGGGCAACGGGCATTTGTGGGCAAAGTCTGCATGGATTTGAATGACACTGTTCCAGAATACAAGGAAACCACTGAGGAATCAGTCAAGGAAACTGAGAGGTATGTGCATTTGCATTTGTCTTGTGAACATTCTGCCACACTGAAGGAGTGCGAGATGGAGACTGGAAATCTTTCTGAACCAGATAGGATGTGCACATAAGTCACAGTGTAGCTTTGCTCACCTTTGGTGTGTTCCTAAAATAAACACTGTACATCAATACAGTTTTAATATACCAAATTACATTTTGGTATATTACGGCAATTGTCATAGGAGCTGGAGGGTAAAGGCTCTTGTAAAAGGAAGGATTCTTTTTTAAAGTCAATTATTTCCCCTCTACCTATCCTTTATTATGTTCTTTGTATGTAACATTAGGATGGCCTAGTGTAAATATGTGTCATTTTTCTACATGTCTTTAATGGTTTACCATGGTACCTTGAGAACTGATGAGGAATTGTGTTGTATGACATTCACACCTAAGAGCTATACAAGAAAATTCTTTAGGTTTAAATATTCCCTAAGACCAAACCATTCTGATGCAACTTTCAGAAGTTTAGCTTTTCTCCATTCTCCAGGCCTCTTTCCATCTGTATGTTTTCTCAAAGGGGGTGGGGGGGGCAGAGTTGAGGAAGCATGCATGTTCCCCCTAACCTGGACCACAAGCTCAACTTTTTCATCCATCTGTGTTTGTGCTCAGTCAACCTTAATTCTTCTCATTTTGTTCTGAAGCAAAGGAACACCATAGATAGACAGGAGGCTGCAGAAGGCAGGAAGCTATAGTGAGTAAATATTGGGTTGTCAGAAAATCATGTCACATTTTTGCATAGAAAACAAACAAACAAAAATACCTCAAGACTTTTCCAACAACCTAACAGTTCCAATAGCCATGTCAGAGCCCTCCAGAGACCACCATCCCTGCAGGTGTTCAGATCACTGTTTATCATATATGCATTTCACAACCACTTCTGATCTGTTTCTTCTGCTTTACTCCAACATTCGTACCCTGTAGAATTCTGCCATTAGATATAATCATGTTGTGTGAATGAGTAGCTTCCACCTGGGGAAATTAGGAGTAAAGCACCCCATGGCTTCTAAATGCATCCAGATGAGTACACATTCATAGCTGTGATATCCACAGAGCGTGATTTATGGCACTATTCCCCCAGAAGCCAGTGCAGTGGCTTGAGTGCTGGGGGAATACACGCGAACAGTGCAGCTGATGTTAGATGACAAAATTGACTTTCCCTGTGATTTTGTACTCCATCTCTCCGGCTGCAAATGAGAAAGCAGAGTAATTACTACTTGTTAATCTTTAATTAGCGGTGGTGAAACATGTGCCGTGTTTGAGATGTTTGCAGGGAAATTAGGACATATAAGGATCATGTTTGCACCCTTTTAAACAATTGTTTGAAAAATGTCTGAACTTCTACTTTCCATGTGTTGCTTTATTTCAGATTTGTGTCAGAAATGCTTCAAAAGAACGTAAGTGAATATTTGCTGCTTGAATTTGGATTGCCTTCAAGTTCATTGTAGGATTGGCTATGAAGTAGCTTATAGAGATTAGTCTTGTATATTTGGTTTATTTCTAGTATGAAATATTTTTCTTGAACCTTAAATTATTTTCGCAGTGGACCATCATCTCAGTTCATTGAGATCGGACATTTTTGCTTTCTCAATGGTTTTCCCTCTCAATACTTTGGAAGCTTTTCATTTCACAGGACTAGTATCCTGGAACAGGGCTTTGTGGGTGTAGACAAACTGGTGGCAGCTGGAGGTTGTGGCCTGGTTTGGTGTGGCCTGTGGCCCTTAGTCTGGTCTGAAACACAGGTGGTGCCCAGCCTTGGTCCACAAATGTGTGGCATGTCACATGGCCTGCAAGCCCGTAGCTCAGCACCCCCTTTCAGCTCCTCAGCACCAGGGAGCCTTTGGAAGCACTGTTGTTTCCTGTGCCCATCCCCGGCGGGCTGGTTCATGGCTCCACTGTGCAATCTCATAGATTGGAAAGGAAGATATTTCCTTCATCATCCTTAGAGTTCTAACTGGAAACCATCGGAAAGCAAGAATTTCTGTCAGTCCCATCTTGGGAGACCTATATGGAACTTAATGGATTCTGTGTACACCACTTTGAGTCCTCTTCCCCTTCTTGGTCCCTCACCTCAGGCAACATTACACCAATCCCACAGCTAAACAGACTTTGGGGAATCCATGCCCAGCATACCTCCCAAGATGGAGAAAGCGAATAGGCTACCTAGCTCAATTTTAGTCTCCCTAGCTCTCTCCTTTAAAGCTTCTCCTTTTGCCTCCAATTTTTTTTTTCTTAAGACCATCCTGTATAGGCCTCATCTGAGCCTTCTATGGATGTAGGAAATGTGATGTCTATCATTTGGGACAAATCTTCTATTGAACATATATTGTTATACAATAGACTCTTTTTCTGTTTTCAGCCATGAGTCATTTGCATGAAACCCAACACTTGATCCCACTGTAAGAATGAAGGTTTGTCCTTCCAAATGAAGGCATTTCATATGACAGGCATTTTGGAATATGCTGTGCATTCATGATATCCATTGTCTCCTTACCAATTGCTTTCCATGATTTCTAGTATTCTAGAGTGAAGCCCATCGTAACACCACGTTTTACCCTTTCTTGTTCTGAGGCTTTGTTGGGTGAACTTGGAAATATTGCAAAGACCCACGATTTGCATGTTCAGGTAGGTATTTTTCTCTCATACCTCTGTCCAAACCTCCAGAACTAAAATCCAGCAAACTCCATTCTTTCTAAGAAGATCTCATCCAAGTATAGCACCAGAGGGTTGGACAGACGTCACCTAAATCTGATTATTTTTCAAGGAAGTCACTAAGGTTCCTTTGGTTTTCTACTCATCTTCCTTGATGAGGTTTGGCAAGATGAAGACATAAGTAATGAAGCAAGATCAGTGACAGTCTGGTTACCTATTCTCCATAGGATACATTTAATGTGTTTCCTTCCTACTTGTCTTTGATTTGATAATTTCTCAGTGTTCTTGTCCTTCTTTTTTGCAGAAACTGTCTATTATTTGAAAAGCAGGAAAAGCAAAAAAGAAACTAATTTCCACCTTACAAAAATTCATTTAAAAGCCCTTTTGTTCTGCGTTTCTTAAATTAAAATCAGGAACAAAAAGTATATTTTACTTTGTCATTAAGTTGTTGCCATTTAGAAATAAAACACTTTTTAAAGCTTCCAGCTGGGTTAAAATTGGGAGTTGGAGTGCCCTTCCCCCACCCAAGCTTCATTATGCACTGCACTAAAATTTCCCCTACTGAGATTTGACTGTCTTATAAAAAGAACAATTTAGGAGAAAGGCAAAACACTGATTTTTTAAATCTTTTTGTGCATTGGAGGTATTTGTGGGTTTTTTAAAGATTTTCATTCTTAGGGCTTATTAAATATTCCCATCTCCGCTATTTTTTTGGTGGTGGTCTGTGATATTTGAATTTCTGACTCACTCTCACACAAATGTAGCGGAAGTACCTCTGTGTCCCTGATTGTCTGAAAATATAAGACTAAAAAGAGAAAAGCATATACATTTAATACTAAGTTTTACATGAAGACCTAAAGAAAAAATTAAACCTGAGTGCTTCTATGCAGGTTTGATAGCAAGTGTTCACTTGTGGAGGGATGGGGCAGATGAAGGAGCATGAGGTAAAATGGAGAAAGCTGGTGGGAATTTAGTAATCCACCAACAATACACAAAGACTTCCTTGTCTCCATATTCTGGCCAAAACATACTTTGGAGTACAGTTTTTTAAATTCATTCTTACATAGTTTGGAATTTGAAAAGACTTTGTCGAAGAACATGTTTATGATATTCACAGATTTTTAGTCATGTGTTTTTGTATATATGATATAGGTTTCAAATAATGTATATATGTATCTTTGTTGTCTTTCTATATGCTTCCTTCAGTAAGCAAATGGAAACTAGCCACACCATTTTGGGATAGGAAGCATAATTTGTAATCGTATTTTACATTAAAATTTTGAAAATACTGTTTTTTTTTTTCCTTATAGAGCCATATAAGTGAAAATCGTGATGAGGTTGAAGCCGTGAAAAACTTATACCCTAATTATAAAAACTACACAGATGTGTATGATAAAAATAACCTTCTGACGAATAAGGTAAATTGTATATAATGATATAATTTATATAAAGGCCTCCCTGATAGTCAAGAGGTTAAGTCTTAGCACTGTGAAGCTACCTGCAGCCACCGCAGCATGAGTTAGATTCTCCGCTGCCCTCTCAACCTCCATAGCTGATCCACATGGTGCAGCAGACCTCTCCTCAGCAGTGTATTTCAGTAGATCTAGCTGTTCTGCTCCCTATTCTGTCTCTGGTGAATCCTTTCATTCCCTGAACATCCTGACCAAACTCTAGCTCTTATATGCATAAATAAAATAAATCTTTAAAGGAAAAAATAGGGTATACTTATCTAAATTTTAAAATCACAGATTTCTGTGGCATGTGGGTATTTCCAAACTAGAGTGAAGCTCAGAGTGTGGGTATGCATGTGGTGCATGTGTGTAGAATTAAAAATGAGACTGAATTTTCATCCCAGTTAATAAATCTGAAGACTTCACTAAGGATGGATATGTCATTTGGTCCAAGGACATTTTGTCAGTAGCCATTAAAATAATGAATTATATGTCTTCCCTTGAGTTAGCAGATGCATTTCTAAAGATCTATTCTGAAAGGATTATGAATAGGAATGTTAATTGCATATGAAAGTTAAAAAAATGGCTATCAGCGGGGAATTGTTTAAACTATAGAACACACATCATTAGAATTTTATTCAACAGTTGCACAGAATGAAGTGTACAGGCTTACAAGTAAGGATGTCTGCAAAATGTTGCTGGATGCATATGTGTCTGTTTATGGGTATGCACACTTAGCAAAAACTGGGAGATATACATTGAATGTTAAAAGTAACTTCCTGAGGGGGCAATCACAACTTTTTACTTTCAAACATTCTTGAGATTGCTTTGAAAAAAAAAAAAGTGTGCATTACTTTTAAAATTAAACAATTTTAAGTTAATGAAAGTTACTGTGAGTCAGGAGTGGCCTCATTACAGCCATATGGCATTGGCCTTGGCCTTCCATGAAATATACTAGCTGTATGGAGAGTTTAACCACTGCAGCAAAAATAACTTGTAGGGAGTGGATGAATGGATGCTGGGTATGACTAAGGTGAAATGCTAATATGCAGCATACGTCTTGTAAATGCTACACTGAAATTTGTCCACACTTACATATATCTCCATATGATTCATAAATTAACCTTCAATTTACATGTTAATTTTATTTGCACAGAGGAGAGGAGAATTTTATTTTAATGATAATATTATGGTCATTAAACCTGCCTCCCCAGGAAAAAGCTATTTACATACAAGTTTTGTACAGATGGACAAAGAATTTTGAAAGAGTAAAGTCTTATTTGGAAAAATTCAAAGATGTTACCAACACTAAAAATTAAGAGAGCTCTTACATCTTCTACATCTTCCTGGGTCAATTTTACCTACTATATTAGTGCTTACATAATTTCTTATATTTCTAATTTTTATGAGTTGTCTAGGTGAATAAAGGCTTATTTGGTTATTTGCATGAAGACCACCAGTGCCAAAGTATAACCAGAGCAGAAATACAGACTAACTCTTTTCAGGTTTCTCCATAGCTTCCACGACTAAGCTCACTTCTAGAAAGTTCTCATTAGAATAGGAACAGTTGCACTTGTTGCTCACTGTGTAGAGAAGAAAGTGACTTGACAGAGTTTTGTAAACTGAAGGCGATAGAACCATGTTATCTTTAAACTGGATTAATTTACTATACTGTGGATCACCAGTCCTTACTATTTCATAACTCAAAAAATTAAAAAGATAATTAACAAATTTGAAGAAACTGTTATAATCCAATGTTTTTACAGGTCTCTTGTGAGGCATAACTTGTACACAGTGATTTTATACATACAGATCATCATAAATGTACTTGTGAAGATGATTAACGCCAAGTCACAGCTTCTATCTGTACTTCTATCTGTACCTGTAATAGCTGCTGGGACTGCAGACTAACTTAAGCACTTAGAAGTGGTAAATGCCACATAAAACACTCTTCTCTCCAGACAGTGATGGCACATGGCTGCTACCTCTCAGCAGAAGAACTGAACGTTTTCAGAGAACGAGGAGCGTCCATCTCACATTGTCCCAATTCTAACTTATCGTAAGTAGGCAGTAACTGGTAGATTATGGGTGTTTGGGTCGCAAATTAGCAGACAGATAGCATTGTTTTCTCAGTCATTGCTCCATTGTCTCTTTTCTGTGCTTATGTCTTGAGTCAGCAACAGATAGGTGGGCACTTTTTGTTTGAGAATATGCTTTTGGAGAACACTACAAATCTTAAAGATTTCTGAGCCGCACAAAACAGGACAAAGGAATACAACAGAAATAGTGCAAACCCAATAGCATTCAAACTGTACAAGGACTAAAAGCGCTATGCCAGCCACTAGGGTCCCTCTGCAGAGTGCCCACTCTGAGAAAGAGGGCGCTCACCTCCCACTACTTTGTGCTGTGCAAACTAAAGGAGATGCACAACTTCTTGGAAGGGGTGGGCTGCTAGAACTGAAGCCCCTACACAACAGGATGCCAAAGCCCAGCAGACCTTGTCCTATTGTAAGTCCCCACTATAAAAAAGTCTTATTTATTACTGGTTCTTAACCTTTTGAAAAGTTATAGAGGCATCAGGGAATAATTTGGCTGGTATCATCAGAAAAAAGCTAACCTATGAAAGATTTGTATCTAATTTCAAGTAATGCACCAACCCCATGGTTCTGATCCACGGGTGCTAGGTTAGGAATCATGGTTCAGCATTAAGAAAGGACCTCCCGGCCCTCCCTGGTGGCGCAGCGGGTTAAAGCACAGCACTGAGAATCTAAAGTCGCTTCCGCATGAGTTCGATTCCCGCCTGCCCGGGAGGTGACCACATGGCGTGGCAGACCTCTCCTGACCCGCCCACTGCTCCCCTCAGCAGTGTATTTCGTCGATCTGCCTGTTCTGTTCCCCACTCTGTCTGGTGAAGCCTCTCGCCGTCCCTGAGCCTCTGGCCTGTACCCCAGTTCTGTATGCACAAATAAATAAATCTTTTAAAAAAAAAAATAGAAAGAAAGAAAGGACCTCTCACTTCTGGTGCTGGTTAACCAGAAGTCCTCATCCCTAGAGGCAGGTTATTCATTCATATAGTTATTCAACAAATTTACTTAGTTTCTGCTACATTTTAAATTTTTTGTTGGTTATCCTGTACTCTTTTTTTAAAAAAATATAATAGTTTATTTTTACATCATTTTGTACTTTTTTTTTTCATCTCAATTGTAATCCCTGTGGGTTTCCCATCACTGAGTCACCCATCACCATAGTCCTGTGCACTTCCCTCCCCAAACCCCCACCTCCCACCCCCATTTTTGGTTATTCTGTACTCTCTTATTTTGAGTTTTGGAGAAGCAGATTGTCACAAGGGTTTGAAGATTTGTGTCCAAGTACTTTATTTAGGAGGTGATCATAGGAATATGCATTACCAGGGGTAATTTTACCCAAGCAGTCATCAGTCACTGGTGGAAGGCTAGTGTGTAGGGGTGAGGGGCTTTTATTCCCTGCAATGTCTGACCTTTCCCAAACAAGGGCAGAGTCACCTCTAGTAGCCAACAAGAGTTGGAGGTTCTGGCAGTTAGAAATCTAGGGACTTTATGGTAGTGGCAGTCTCAGAAAGGCATGAGAGTCACACTGGAGTGTTTTGAGTGTTTCTAGAAGCTTCTAGATTTCAGATATAAAGTAATCACAGATGACCTGCAATCTTGCTATGTACATAGAGTAGCCATAATTATAGTGACCTGATCATGGAAGGATTTAATATCCCTTAGTTACAGGGATATTATGTAGTTATTTAGTTAGTTATACTACATCTGAATTAAAACATGATCCAGCTTTGCAAATGAAATTTGAGGTTAGATTTCTTTTTTGATACATTTCTGTTTAAATGACCAGTTCTATTCATTTTATAATAACTTTGAGAGATGGATCACTTGTACTCTGGGACTTTGCACATAATAGCTGTGTACGGTTTTGAACAGAATACCTTTGACCTTTGTATCTTCTCAGACTTCTAAGAATTGCTTTAGTTTTCCTTTGTTCCTTTAGAAAGACTGCACATCTACTAACTCCAAGGTCACAAGGTAGAGAATTCAGCCCAGGAACCATCTCTCCAGGTGCTGCTGTCCTCAGAGGCAGCATTTGCACTGTCAGGTCCTGACTCAACAGCATGCCCCTCCTTTCTTTGATCTTGCAATTTAATATTTCTTTCGGGGTAATGCTGCAGACAGAGAAGAAAGCCAATGCCTTATGATCTCTACCTCCTAACACAGAAAGATGTATTGGTAAAAGTAGTTATTAAAGCCTGTTGGGACTGAGTGCAAGACTGAATTTTGCCACTTATTTTTCATTTCCAATGATCCCTTGACCTCTCCTCTGGCTCTTGCTACTTTGCACCCACCTGAGATTAACTTTAACCCAAGGATTCAAGCTCCTTTATTATCATTGTACTGCAAGAATCTGAGGGTCTGACATGATTAATACATTTGTGTCAGCATTAGAATTGTTAGCCTGGGAAACATAAATTTCAGTGATATCACCATCAGGATTCTTAGCAGAATTTTCTTTTGTTGGAGACAGAGGGATCTCTTTATTCTGTCTTCTCTCTCTCCAGGCTGAGCAGTGGCTTTCTCAATGTGGAAGAAGTCCTGAAACACCACGTGAAGATTGGACTGGGCACAGGTTAGTAGGTCGTCATTTAGAGCTATGCACTGTGGCCACTATGTGTCCCTTTCTATTGAAAAAGGTCTAGTAATAGCACTGTTTAAAAAATTAGTTCTACTATCTGGGTTGTACTATCCTGAGCTACTAAAATAGTGCGGCTGGAAACAGTGTGAAAATGAATACAAAAGAAGAAGTTTTGATCACTCTAAGCTCCTGGAAGCCATTGATCATGTTTTCTGATCACAGATTAGATTTAAAAATAAATCCTAAGTTCTTTTTTAATTTTTCCTCCCCTTTTTGTTTTTTTCCTCTGGCTAGATTTTAATGATGTGGAATTGTGTTTTTAAAAGTTTTCAATAACTGTTATCACAAAAATTGTCTGAAATGAAAATTATTTGCCCTAGCCATCTTGAGAATAAACTCCATCTATGCCAGTATTGAGAACATGAAATAAGAACTAGCTTTGCTTTTAAGCGGTATTTAACAAAATGAGATCCCAGTTCCATGGGCAGTCTGATGTTTGCTAGAGTGGGGGCCATTCTGGGAAGCTGATGAATCAGTGGTCTCATCTCCTTTTGTTCACGGCACATTGTCTTGTTTTTCAAAAGTGTGTGCAGGGCTGCTCACTTGAAAGTGTGAGTCAAGCCCAAAAGTCTCAGCAACCCCTCTGCATCTTTTTTTATTACACTGTCCAAGAACAAACTAAAGTTCTGTCAGCGAAAGGGCACATGGACATATGCATTTATTTTCCATCCTTGATACATTCAGGATACTAATGTGTTGACAATGATGATTTTATTCATTTTCTGTAATAATTCAAATATTCATTATTTTGATACCAAGCAATTAATTGGGAAAACAAACAAAAATACAAAGAGATAAATTAATATTTTAGAAGAGGTGAGCTAAGGTAGTGTTCCCCAGTTTTGCATGAATCAAAGGAATTATAGTGTTTTAAAAAAATACTAATATAAGACTTAAATCATTAAAATTGTGGTAATACCTGATCTGGTCACAGGTATGAAAGCAGGAAACCAGTTATTTGCCTTCACAGAAATGCTTTAGTAGCTAAGAAAATAAAAGAGTGTTTGTTACACATGGTCAATTAATGAAAACTAGCAGACCTGCAAAAATCAGGTAGATATTGCTTTCAAATTTTCTAGGGTTTTGGTCTCCATGATTTAAATTCATCATGTGATTTCCAGTTCTTGAACTTGAGTTTTTTTACTGGTGGCCTAAAATGTTCAGATAAAGTTCTGTCAATAATAATTGCGCTTTATAGGACTTTAAGCAAATCACTCTCATTTGCAAAGACTTTATTTCCTACTTTCTGTAACCTTCGCATGCCTGCAAGGTGGTTAGCACGTTCTTTTATACCCAGCTCTGGAGAACTGTTCATCAATAAAGATCAGCTCAAAAGTAAAAGAACAACTTTGGTGCTAGATTAACTATGAAGCATTTGCTGAGGAACTAGGAGATTTATTGTTGCATTTTACATAGTTCCTGTTGCAATAGCCATGTTATACTCCACTATTTCCAAAACACAGTCTGTATGTATCAACTTGCCCTTCACCTGTAGACAAGAGGATTGTTTCATCTCACACCCAGGGACAGGGAGCAGTTCCAAGAGTGGTTCATTTACTCTACCACTAACAAGTGTAGGGAGGCCTGGACTTGCTCCAGCACTAGGTACAGTTGTTAGCATTCATCAAACTAGACACATAAGCTCTGTGCATTTTATACTATTTTAATTATACTGTAAGAAAAACAACAAAGTACAGTAATCTATGAGAAAAACAGCCGTTGTGCAGAAAATAAAATCAGTGCAACTATGGAGAACGTAGTTGACCAACAATCAAAGGATATGCTTGAGAATAATCTACATGGAGAGCAGAAAACATGGGCTGTTCCACAGGGAGGAATGAGAACAATGGGAACCGAACTAATAATCAGCGCTTTGAAAGGTCAACTTTTTCTGAATTTATGAAAAAACTGTGTCTTATACTGAATGAATATACCGTGTCTTAACTAAATCATAACTGAACATATTGTGACAAAATATTTGAGTTATGAGGAAAAGTCCTAAAATAATGAGGCAAGAGTGAGGAAGTCAGTTATCGTTAAGACAAAAGGGTGATGTGCTGTCCCACAAAATACCAGGAGCAGGAAAAAAAAATGGAGATAAAGTGGTTTTACTGAAGAATATAAAGCCAGAATTTCCTTCATATGTTAAGACAACAAAATTCTAAGATGTAGAAAATAATGTCCCCATGAGTCCTTTGAAAAATTACTTGGAAATATACACCAGTCAATGACAAGTGAGGCAACATAACGGATATCATATAGGGAAATAATGGCTAGATGAAAAAGAAAGATAAAATCAACTATAAAATAGTAATCAGATCAAAGAATTGTGAAAGAGTTTAAAAAAATAAAAACAGAAGTCAAAAGTATATCTCTGGAGAGAAATTATAAAAAGTACTATCTGTCTTTTTAAGGTCCTAGGCCTTAAAATGCTCTAAAAACATAAAGTCTTAATAAACAACAACAACCAGCACATAAGCATTAAAAACTAATGAAAAGGGCAGCATAAATAAGGAAATGTTTCCCTCTAGTTGAGGAGAACTTCCTGAATATATGATATTTACTTTTGAAACATAATGTTAGAGACTTGAGTTTCAGTGTTGTGTATTTCCTGTGTAATTTGAACATCTTCAGTGTTTTATCATAAATTAAAAAATACGTTTTGCAAGAAAGAACTTTTCAAATACTAAAGAATTGTTCTATTTTATGATTTTATTAACAAAAAGATCAAGAAGTTGTAGTAGTATGTATGTGGTGAGGAGGAAGATGTATTTAGCAAGTGGTAGCAAAATTATAAGTATATAAAAATTCCTTGTCTCAGCAAAAAAAAGGAATTGCACATATATCTCACTTTTGACCTTGTAATAATGAAAGTATTAATGGTAGCTACTTGTAGAATTTTAAAAAATAAAATAATCGCTATCAAAAGGTGAAAAAAGCAAAGACACAAGGAAAAATAAAAAGCAGTAATCGGAAGGAAAAACCTAGAAGTATGATATGGGTTGAAATAAAATCTATGAATTCGACAAACAACATACATGGAGACAGTATCTTACTTTCTATGCTTGTTCCATTCGTCCCTTACTTGTTCCATTAGTCCCAAAGCAGCAGTTCTTTAATTAACGTAAAGACTCTAATCTAGTGATTCCATGCTTGCTCAAAATCCATTATTCCCTTCCTTGTTTAACCACTTTAGATGTCAGAGTGCATCACTATAATCATTCCCTGGGAAACTTCCTTGTTTCCTTGTCTCTCCACTTTTCTTTGCATTCTCCTTACAAAAACCCAGCTCTTGATGATCTCAGTGCCTCTTCCTCTATTACTCTTAGTGTGTAAAGCTGAGCATCTGGATGTTGCTCAAAAAAGTCCTCTAGAGAGGTTTTGTTACAGGACAGGGGAAAGAGGGGCACAACTGATCCCCCAAACCTGCCTGCTCTAAGTGGGTTCTGCCATCTGCCATGTCAAGACAAAACGTATAAAACTTTAATGAAAAGGGTCTTTAATACAATGAGTATACAATACAGAAGACAAAGAATATAATGTCTAAACCAAACACCTGAAGTTACCCATCCCCTCGTGGGCAAAAGTCAACCTAAAAGGGATTGGCCCAAAGCAAGGCCCAAAAGCCCGCCACAAGACTAAAGCAGCTTCTGGCAGGGACCCAGGGAAAAAGGTCAGAAATGGCCAGATACATCTGGAAGGAAAAGAGCAAAATCAAAATCAGTATGAACACTGCCATAGTCACCTCCCTACAGGTATCTCACCCACATCTGCCTTAACCAGTTGAGGGTCAGGAAACAAGCACAGTTTCTTCCTCACATGCTTGCTGCTCCATGTGGCTTCCTCAGGTCTCCTTCTGGCTCTCCATCCTGCTACCTTCTTTTTTTTCTCTTCTCAGCTCCCCCCTCCTTCTGGGTGGGGCAGGGAACCTGGAACTTCCCCTTTTTCCTAGGGACCACCCTGTTACAGTTTTATTTAAATTTTGCTCTCAAATTTCAAAATGGCCCATAACCATTTCGATAAATGTTTCTCTGATAAGCATGTGTCCTTACTTTAGCATGGCTGTTAAAATACTTTATTTTATTAATTTCTGCATACAAGAACTGGGGTCTAGGCCAGAGGTGTAGGGGTGGGGTATGTGTGAAAGGATTCACCAGACACAAGGTGGGGAGCAGAACAGGTATATTTATGGAAATACACTGATGAGGGGAGCAGCAGGTGAGACAGGAGAGTTCTACTATGTCATGTAGGTACCTCCCTGGCACGGGAGGTACTCATGCGTCAGTGGCTGCAGGTAGCTTAATAGTACTGAGACTTCACCCCTTCACTATCAGGGAAGTCCAGTATACCATACTTTATATAAATGATGCACCATGTGGTTCACCTCCCTAGCAGAGATCAATCACGCCGCAGTGGCTGGCCATAGCTCTGTAGCACTGAAACATTAATGCCTGTCCTATCAGGGAGGCCCATAGTGGGAAAGATTTTCAATAGAATCAGTGAGCATAGAAAAAGAAAAAAAAAAAAAAACTTTAATGTTATCCCAGTAAAATTCCCTTTTTTTTAATTAATTTATCTTTACATCATTCTTCATTTGTGCCTTTTTCCATCTCGGTTGGACTTCCCACCACCAATTCACCCGTGTGCCATCCTGTGCACCTTTCCCACCCCATTTTTTATCCCATTCCCCACTCCACCCCTGTAAAATTGGTACAGGACACCAAATCTGTTACAGGACAGGGGAAGAGAGCACCACTGAACCCCAAACCTGCCTGCTCTAAGTGGGTGCTGTCATCCGTCACATCAAGACAAAACATATAAAACTTTAAAGAAAAGGGACTTTAATGCAGTGAATATATAATATGGAAGACAATGAATATAACTTCTAAATCAAATATGTGAAGTTGCCCATCCCCTCGTGGGCAAAAGTCAACCCAAAAGGGATTGGCCCAAAGCAAGGCCCAAAAGCCCACCACAAGACTAAAGCAGCTTCTGGCAGGGACCCAGGGAAAAAGGTCAGAAATGGCCAGACAAATCTGGGAGGAAAAGAGCAAAATCAAAATCAATATAAACACTGCCTTAGTCACCTCCCTACAGGTATCTCACCCACATCTGCCTTAACTGTCAGAAAACAAGCTCGGTTTCTTCCTCACATGTCTTGCTGCTCCATGTGGCTTCCTCAAGTCTCCTTCTTGTTTTCCATCCAGCTTCCTTCTCTTCTCCCCTCTGATTCCTTTTCCTCTCTCCTTTTTCTCTGCTCAGCTCCACCCTCTTTCTGGGTGGGGCAGGGAACCTGGAACTTCCCATTTTCCTAGGGACCACCCTGTTACAAAATGTCTCTGGTATATAGTTGTTTGTTGTTTCGTTTTTTCTTTATTACTTTTTTCTTTTCCCCACCCTGGTCCCTTAAATTCCTGCTATTAGTGAAACCATCTGGTATCTTTTCTGGCTTATTTCACTAAGCATGATCCCTTCCAGCTCCATTCCCTGTGGGCAAGCAGGGTTTGATGTTCATGAGTAAGAAGCCTACCAAAGATCAACAAAGCAAAAAAAATTTCCAGGTCCACAATTTAAAAACTAGATAGATAAAATGTGGCAGTTAACTAATGTTCTTTCCTGCTCACCATGCTACTTTTTGCTCTATAGTAAAGTAGGCTTCTACTTGTACTAAATGTTTTGTAGAGGGAGGAGGAAGTCACTAGGCAGTTAAGCATTAAGAATTACTATCACAATGGAAATCCCATTAAGAATAAACTTTAAGAAAAGCTTAACTCTTGCAAAATTGATCCAGAGGAAATACCAGGATTTGTGTGGCCCAGGTTTCATTGTTTGATTCACTTTTATTGTTGTCTGTTGGAAGTGCCCCATTAACATAACAACCAGAAGACTATGAGATGATTAAATCTCTGGTAAGTCAGTAACATATTGAGTCAGTTCTCAAAATTTTTCTAATAAATTGCCTAACATTTTTTCCTGATCTATCCTTATTCTTTCTCTATGGATAGTTTTGATTAGATATAGAGAAAAAGACTAATTTCTGTCCTATTTGTAAATCCTGTTTATATAACTCCAAATATTCAAATCTCCTATAATTTATATTTATATACTGTATATATCTAGATATACTGTGCTTTTGTTGTTTTCATGTTTTCTTCCAGTTTGTGTCCACATTTTTTGAAATATAAATTCAATCTTTACATGTTTCTCTACAATAAAGTGCCATCATTCATATTCTACCTTTACATTTAACATTGCCCTTTTATAGCAATATTAAGGAATCTGTACTGAAAATGTTCCAAAGCTTATTGGGCCTTATTCCTCAATTATATTTGTTTTTGTAGTTTGATGAAATAGTAAAATAAAGATTTAATGGATGGTTACTATATGTTAAAATGGACCAGTAACTTTAGTAGATGAATAAAACTTGCCAAGGAACTAGATTATTCTCTGACAATACTGTTCTAGTTAAAGAACTATTTTTTAAAATTTATTTATGCATACAGAGCTGGGGTACAGGACAGGGGTGCCAGGGCAGTGAGAAGATTCATCAGAGGTAGAGTGGGGAGCAGAACAGGCTGACTGATATGTACACTGCTGAAGGGGGCAGTGGGCGGGTCAGCGGTCTGCTGCGCCAAGTGTGTCACCTCCCTGGCGTGGGATTAAACTCTCACTTAAGCTCCTGGGGCTAGCCTCACAGTGCTGTGCTTTAACTTGTTGTGCCACCAGGGAGGGCCCTAAAGAACATTTTCTAAAAAGATTTTTTTATACAACTTTGTCTCAAGAAATGTAAGATAGTTGAACACAAAGTTGAACAGGAATCTAGGATTATCACTTAATAGGCTATTTTAATCTTTGCAATCTATGTAGGTATTAACAATTAGATATGCATATCTAGATGTATATGTTCTTGTATAAATAAATATATGACTAGAAATGACAGAAGGAACCCTTGAAATATAAAGTATATTTTGTTAGCTAAAGATATATTTTCCTCTGATAAAACATACTATCTTATCTGACATTTCTACAAGCTTATTTAATAACTACTAACATATTCATTCTTGTCACAAGTAGTATTTCAATTTAATTATGATTAGGAACTTTATTTAAATGACTTAAAAACTCATTCCTCATTTAATGATGCTAACAATATATAAAGCTGTCTACATCAGCATGGCCCATTTATTACACTAATTTTTCAGAATATATGATTCATTCTAAAAGCTTTTCCTGAAAAGTGATCATAAAGAAGTGGCTCTTTTGACTTCCCAAAGTTCTTGTGTGATTACAGTAGATTTACAAATCTTTAGAGCATCAAACTGTGAGCTGCTTTCATTTCAAAGGAGGGTGAGTGAAGCATGTGCACCTTTCGAAGTAAGAAAAAGTACCCCCCAAATTATATACATATGTAAAAGACAAATTAATAAAAATAAATGATGTTACTTAAAATTTTCATATTATTGTTACAGGGCACCCCAATGTGAATTGGGTTGCCTGTCTGTGGGTCTTCACCCGTGCGCTTACGATTCAATCGTATTATGGACACACTCAAAAGGTTCAATAATGGATTTATTTATAAGGAGAAAGGTAAAGGAATAACCCAGGGAAAGAGGGAGAGAAACACAGGTTAACTAGGATGTCCTACCAGTTCTGCTGACTAGGACTCCACTGGCATGCTGAAAACCGATTGAGTGCCAAAACGATCAGCTGCAAACCACCAGGCCCTCATGTCCCGGCGTTCTTCTTCTTGGTACTGATGGGATTTGGAGTTCCAGCATCTGGAGTGGGGGCAGAGTCCATGAAACCTGTACCTGTTACATTATCTAAATTACCTTTATAACTACATAAGCAGTTGAATAATTTTTGTGAGCATTCAAAAGGAATACTTAAAAATAAGAATTACTTCCTTTAACTTTCTTAGCCATGTTGAATTATGCCCCCTAGAGTAGACAGTCTTCCAAAACTGTCTACTCAGTCGGTAAAGGTGACTTTACTTGGACTAAGTTCTTCATGGGAATCAAGGCAAGGATCTCACGATGCTATTCGGAATTAGGGTGGGCCCAAAATTCAATGATTAATGACCTTTTACTGGAAAAAGAAAGACACATGAAGACACAGGGGAAGAGGCTTTGAGAAAGGAGGCAGAGACTAGAGTTATATGGCTAGAAACATGGGAAGGAGCCCGGAGAGGTTTTTCCTTAAGGCTTCTTAGAGATCATGGCTTTGCCAATACTTTGGTATCAGACCTCAGGTCTCCCATTCTGTGAGAAAATAAATCTCTGCTTTTTTTTTAAGACTTATTTATTTATGCATACAGATCTGGGGTACAAGCCAGAGGTGCTGGGGAGGTGAGAGGCTTCACCTGAGACAGTGGGAAGTAGAACAGGAAGATCAAAAAACACACTGCTGAGGGGAGCAGATCTCTGGGGTGGGGATTGAACTCATGCTGAAATGGTTTTAGCTTCTTAGTGCTGTGCTTTAACCCACTGCACCACCAAGGAGGGCTCAAATCTCTGCTGTTTTTAACTGTCAGATTTGTTGCAATTTATTGCTGTGGCCCAAAGATACTATCAATAGTACAGGCATACACTTGATACGTAATGGAGATTTTGAATGTTAGTCTATGTCTAGTCTGTATTTATAGATATGATCTCTTCTTTTAGGCATATAAAGACTGATTATCTGTCACTAGAAACAAAGAAACAAAAATAACAACTTTATGTACCTAGTATTCAATTTTTCTCAGAGGCTTTATTTTATCTACCATAGATGTGGCTGGTGGCTATTCATCTTCCATGCTTGATGCAATCAGAAGAGCAGTGATGGTTTCCAATATCCTTTTAATTAATAAAGTGAATGAAAAAAGCCTCACTCTCAAGGAATTCTTCAGACTAGCTACTCTTGGAGGCAGCCAAGGTAATGATGGATTGATTTCTCTCTCCTACCTTCTTGCCAAATTGTGTTCTAGGACACTTTCTTGAAAGCAAATGATGGTGGCTTTAGCAGCCATCCAATGTCCTGTCACAGCAGAAATAGCATTTCCCAGGCTTAACAACTAAAGGAGCTGTTCAGGCCTGTGCTGGAGGCATCATTACTTCAGCAAGTTCACTGTCTTTGGCAGAAAAGCTGTTTCATACACAATTGCTTTCATGGATAATTGTATGGGTCGCTTGCATATGAGTTCTTTGAAGTAATCAGCTTTTTCTGTTTAGTCAAGTAACAGGCTTTCTATTGGCCTAAATGGTAATTATAATGATAATGATAACAATAATTCTTGCCAAAAATTACTGAATTCCTGACTGTTTGAAATGCATTCTAGGACATGTTTGTGTATGTTGTTATTTCATCCTCCCAGCCACTTGGTTAATTCTGTTTTACCAACAAGTTACCTGACTGAGGCTTACAAAATTCAAGCTACAACATGCCATGATTTGAATACAGAAAATCTGATTTCAGTACATCAGGCTCTCACCACCTTCTTCTGGGATAGCTTCCTGTACAAATCCACATTTAAACTATGCAATTCATTTATTTTGCATACTAACTACCCAAACTTTTTGAGAAGTAGTAAGATGTAAAAATATATTTGGTCCATATGCAAATGCTATTTATCAGCTTTATCCAGTTCACACATATAACCATAACCATATTTTTATTAGAAAAATAGAAATTGACAATTATCTTACTTTCAACAACTTAAAGTACAGTCTACATGAGTGATAATGAATATGGCTTGTAACTTAAGGCAGCAAATAGAAAATTAATATAAAGATATAGATAGGGAGAAATTTATGATGGGCACTCTGTCTTAGAAGAGGAAAATGATGGAGGCCAAGAGTATCCCTTGGAAAGAGAACATTCCTGTTTCTTCTTTCAGTGTTCTCGACTATGATGAATGCCACAGAGGACATTTCAAGACAAACAAGTAGAAGTCATGCTGTTTGCATGCCCTAAGTCTTGGGATTTCATGTTCTAAAGTTCTGTGTTTTAAATCACCCAAGCTTTTAACTTGTCAGCCTCTGTCCATGCCCACCTACATTGTGTTTGAGTGATTATCCTGCCAATCTTATTTTCACAGTACAAAGTTGTATTTAAATAGTGCTTTTTTTATTCTAGGCTTTCTGTGCGTTGCTTCATCAGGATCCAGTGTCTGATCAAGCCAGCCTGGGGTGCTTACCAAATCATTTCTATCTTGTTGTAGAGCTTTTAAATCTCTTTTCTGGGTCACTGGGCTTTCTTTATGGACTTTTTACTGCATAGCATGTGTCCCTAAGAGAGTCTAAGTGAAATGAGGTGCTTAGAGTGTGGCACCAGTCCAGCTTACCATAGCCTTTCCATTCACCCTCAAGAAGATCAAGATTTACACAAGTCACTTTCACAGAGTTAACGTTCACTCCAAAGGTAGCAAAATGCATTTCCTAAAATGCATTTGAGTTGCTTACCAGCCCAGCTCGTCCTCTATGCAATCATTTCGATTTAGATCAACTTATAAATTCACTGAAAGCAGTTGTCTCTGTAAGTTCATGGTTGGCCTCTTCACATTCTAACAAATAGTCCTGTTAGTTCATATATATCATCAAACATTGGTAAATGTACCTGGTTATATGGCCCATTAAACACACACAGTTTTCTGCTGAATGTAGTCATTACAAACTCCTATTTCTTGTCAAGAGCAAATAAAAAGTATAGTAAAATTGGCAAAGGAGAGAGAATTTCCAGCAATTATCTATATTGCATTCAGTCCTTCCCCTGGTGATTAGTAGAAACCACTTCACCACTTTTAACATCTCTAATTATTTTTTTTACCCATCTTTCTACCAGAATTCTTTAGCTAAACTATCTTATTCTTTTCTGAGAATAAAAGAGTTGCCCTTTAAATCTTTAAAGACCAACTAGAATTTCTAAGTCAATGCTTAGAGCATTGTCAAGCATCTTCTGAATATCTATAAGAAGTTTAATGCACCAGATAGTTTCTGCCAGGGATATGTGACCCAGTATTTTCACATGGGTCACAATAAACACGTGTCATAATTCAAGTAAATAAAGCTGTGCCTCAGTTGACTTTCCTCCTCTGCATGCTTCCACTTGATACTTCATTGTGCCCTCTGTTCAGAGTACAGGCTTTATGGTGCATAAAGCCATTGTCTCCATTGACCAGGAATTCCATACCTCCATACCTCCATTCTGAAACTAAATCACAAAAATGAGAGATGTTCTTCCTCATGTCCTGTATTCATGAAACATGAATTCTAGTATTGAATTGATAAACATTGACCAAATTCTTATTTTAGAAACTCATTTTTTTGTGGCAGTCATAAATTCTTTGCAGATACACAGAAGTTTGTCACCTTTCAGAGGTGTTAGAACTCTTGAGTTACGAAAATTTTTTTTTACTTTCAGAAGTGAATTTTTTCTATTCATCATATTTAAGGAATTTATGATAAATGTGCTTACATTAGCAAATATGCAAAAAAGAAAGTTATCTTTATTTTTTCCAGGCTTATTTCACTACCATGAAATAGATGTTAACAATTATTTTATAGAACAAAAGGAATAAAAAAGGCAGGAAAGGAGTTGGAGTGTTGGGGGTTTAGATTAGGAGGGAAAAAAAGATATGTCAATTATTATGTGTCTTAGAGGGATGAGTAAGAATCATAGACCAGCTGGACTGTGAAGTATCCTGACAGCTGAAGTAGAGAAACACCATCAGAATTGCGATCACAGTGATAAAGGCAACTCTTTTTATTCTTAGATTTTTGCTTTCTCTGTGCTTACTCTGCTTCCTCTAAGTAGAAGTCTATGACCTATTGGAATGAAAGAGCTTTTCTACTTCAGTATTAAAATACTAATTTTTTTTAGTGGCATGTTGGCAGATTCTGTCCTTTCAAACTGGGATATTTGTGTAGTCTGATGGCTTAAGATACTGACTGTTTCTTAATTGATTCCATCCTATAGCCCTGGGGCTGGACAATGATATTGGAAACTTTGAAGTGGGCAAAGAATTTGATGCCCTCTTGATCAATCCCAAAGCATCCGACTCTCCCATTGACCTGTTTTATGGGGACTTTGTTGGTGATATTTCTGAGGCAAGTAAAAATGTTAAAAGTCATTTATTTCCAGAAACAATTATAAGAGTGTCCCTGTAGGAAAAAAAAGAATGGAAACATTTTAATAGAATGCAGAAGAATCTTAAAAGGAAAGTGTTGTCCTTTTGAGTTGCTATAATTCCGTGCCAGTGATGCTTGACAAATGGTATTAACAAGATATTTGTATTTTAAATATTTTTGTATATTTGAATGTACAGCTATGAGAGTCCATACATTCTGAACACAGTATATACCAGGTGGCATGGGATGAAGTACTTTTATACATTATTTTATTTAAGCATAGGAACACTTTTCTGAGAGATAAATGCTATTAATATTACCATGTTATACGGGCCCCCCCCGGTGACACAGCAGGTTAAAGCACTGCACTAAGAAGCTTAAGCCACTTCCCCATGAGTTCGATCCCCACTTGCCCCGGAGGAGATCCACATGGCATGGCAGACCTCTCCTGACCTGCCCGCTGCTCCCCTCAGCAGTGTACTTCGTCCATCTGTCTGTTGCTCCCCACTCTGTCCCTGGTGAATCCTCTCACCCTCCGCATCTCTGGCCTGTACCCCAGTTCTGTATAAATAAATAAATAAATCTTAAAAAATAAATAAATTAATTAATTAAAAAAAATATATTGCCATGTTATGTATAGGGACAGAGATGCTTAAGGAAGGTTAAATGATTTACCTAAGGACACATGGTTAGTAGACAGAGTTTGGATTAAAGCCAGGACTTGCAGACTTCCAGAGTCTGGGCTTTTGACTACAGCACTATATTGATTTTCTTAATGATAAGAAAATGAGTTCATTACTTTGTACTTATTATAAAATGTTTTCCTATATGTAAAGCAAATGGGTTCTTCTTACTTTAGCAATTTAGCTACACAAAATATTGAGTTTTTCTAAAAAATAAAAGAAATATTACCATTTATAAATTGATTTACAATGAGAGTAAACATGATATTAAATAGACTATATGAGGTTTTTAAAAGAAAGATGTGAAATTATGGGTAATGAAGCCAACACTTCATTATTTTCATGTTACTTATTCTTTTACTACTTTATTAGAGTGAATTTCTGGAAAAAGGACCAGTCCCCATCTTTAAGTCATTTCTCTTATATTAAACACCTTGAAATTTTTGAGCTACTTTATTGAATTAATTTAAGTTAGGTAACATTTTTCCTCTGAAGATATCAAGGTTAAATACCAAAAACTTTGAGGCAGGGAATATATTTGTTAATTACCAGTATTTTAAAAAACATTTTATTTATTTGTGCATACAGAACTGGGGCAAAGGCCAGAGGTGCAGGGATGGTGAGAGGATTCACCAGAGACGGAGTGGGGAGCAGAACAGGCTGACTGAGGAAGTATACTGATGAGGGGAGCCATGGGTGGGTCAGGAGAGGTCTGAGGCACCATGTGGATCCACCTCCAGGGCCTGGATCGAACTCATGATGAAGTGGCTTTAGTTTCTTAGTACTGTTCTTTAACCTGCTGCGCCACCAGGGAGGGCCTACCAGTAATTTTTAAGTAAAAAGACCATATACTTTTTAAATTAATAGAATTAGTTTTTGCATTATAAAATAAATGTATATAGCAGGGCTTTGTCAACCACAATTGGCTGTAAATTTACTTTTCGAAAAGTTGAAAATAGTATTTCTGATTATTTTATTTTCCATTTTAGGCTGTTATCCAGAAGTTCCTCTATCTAGGTGGGTAGAGATATGTCTTTTTTTTTTTTTCTTGTTCATTCTTGGGTAACTAGCCCATCTAAGGTACAACATTTAAAGGGGCTATTTGACTTGACCTTAGTTTCCTAGAACACACAGACATAGATTTATCCTAAACTCCAGAATGGCAGAACAAAAGGAAAAAATGACCTATCTTCTTCCTACACTCATCTGTAACCTACAGTCTACCCTACTATGTGTGTAAGTCAACATGGAGTCTTAACTGGCTCCCATTCCATTCTGTTCACTCGCGAGAAGCAAATGGTGCAGAGATTCTACTCCACCAACCACTCCATACAATGAGCCAAGTCCTAAGTGACTTTGAGATTGGAGAGACACGGGTGGTATTTCTTGTAGAGTTTAGTTCTTCCAGTTCATCTCCCTTAGCGGAGTATGATTGGGGGTGTCAAGAAGTCTTCCCTTTATGACTAGACTGGACATGCAAACCACTCACTTTAGCCAAAAGCACAACTTTATAAGAAGATCTCATTCTTAGGTAAAGAATACAGAGGCCAAGTCTCAAATCAGATACAGGTTCTTCTACTGATTATGTCTCCTGTCCAGACTATACACCACCTGAGAGAAAGGAGGCCGCTTTTCATATTTCCTATTGCTAATCCCGCCTGGTGACAATCCAAATCTTATTGACACACATGCACTTTATAAACGGTTCTCTGCTTCTTTCTCTTTTTTTTTTTTCAGGAGATGATCGAAATATTGAGGAGGTTTATGTGGGCGGAAAGCAGGTGGTGCCCTTTTCCAGCTCGGTATAAAGCCCTCGGCCTCCACAAGGTCTCCCAGGATGGCATCGCTCTGCGTTTCCCTTGTGCCCAGGCAGAGTTAGAAAGTCCAAAAATAGTACCTTGTTGTTGGGATGACTATCTCTTTCTATGTCTAGTTACAGTATTCACGTGACAAATTGCTTGAAGGAAGTTGCAATAATTCTCAGCTCTCCGGAGAATTCAAAATTTCTCCCTTTTGAGCCCTTCAGAGTTACTTTAGGCTCAGACATAAGGGAGTGATAGTACTGCTGGTGTTCTAAAGAGATTTAAGTAAAATTGATTTCCTGTTCGGTAGTGAGAAAGGTTATTGCCATAGATTGATATTTTGAAGTAATGTGAAAAATCAGAAAACTGAAAATGAACCAGTGAATATATTTTTTTGAAGGCAAGACTATGACTAAATGTTGGAAAATCACTTCAGATTGTGTTTGAAAATTATATACTGAGCATACTAATTTAAAAAGAGAACTTGTTGAATTTTGAAACTGTTTCTAGATTGACCTTGTTTTCTGGAAATTTGCACTTAATGGGGTTTGCATTTCAGAGATGTGTTATTGTTGTGCTTTGCCTTTCTGGAGGATGAAATATCAGAAATGGAATGCCACATGCTTTCTTACCATAATTCTGTGCTTCAAAGTATTTGACAGAAGTTGGGTATTAAAGATTTAAAGTCTCTTAGGAATATTATTCATATAACTACATGGCATAACTAGTTGTATTTTTGTGTAGCTTAAGATCATCTTAATTTATAACTGTGCTGTTTTATCGTTGCTTTGGTTTTATTAGGAGAGAACAAATTCCACCTTTACTGTTGCTAGAGTAGAGTCTCCATAAATCAGGACAAGTTCTGGGCATCCAGGCGCGCTCAATATGAAAGGGATGTTATATTGCAGTAATCGATTCTCCCCAAGAACTATGCCATATACCATAACTATTCCAGCACTATATTTGCTGGAAATTTCTTACTCAGATGTCAGTCTGTTAGAATTTTAAAGTGAAAGCCAGATCCTATTAAAGAATTATTAAAAATTCTTATGTCCTACTGATTGAGAACATTCTATTTTTCAATTCTATTCAGTTGTCTTTCTAATGGCTAATGATTTTCAGGACATTCGAGTGTTAGGATTGTGGAAAAGATATAGCTGTCCACTCAGTGTTTATTTAATAGGGCTTAGTTTGTACTAGAAATGTACCCTCTTTCCACAAAGCAGAAAATTTTTATGCTTCCTAACATATTGTGTGCTCCTCATAATCTAGAATTAAAACCAAAGTAAGAATTTATGATAAATCCTTAAACAGTGTTGACCTGTACATTATCCAAATCCTATAATTTTTTTCATTTAATTCCAAATACTATAAGCCAGTAAGGAAAATAGATTTTTTAAAACACAACATAAATCTCATAACTAGGACTTAAGTGTGACTTGTTAATATTTTCTGATAGTAAATACTTCATGTAATATAACTAACACCACACTTACAGAACTGAAACAGTTTGCCCTCCTGTACTAAATATTTCATTTTCACATAGTCACGCTCATTTAGAAGTCACTTGCCCAATGTTTTTTCCCTAGTTGGAAATAATTTTAGATTTGTGTATACATTACACCTAATGATAGAACAAATGTTTGCTCTTATTTACAGAAAAACAACCCAGTTTTTGTTGTGGTATATTAAGCAACTCAGTTAAATTCAACTGTCAGTCTAGTTTAGTCTATGTATTGCCAATATTTCAACTTCCTGAGCCATATCAAAGATAACTTGCCAAAGGTTCCCCATTTCTCTCCAGTTCTGGTAAGTCTTTGCTATATCACTCAATCTCTGCCAAAGGAACTTAGTTACCTGGTGGCTAATCTAAAGGAGAGTTTAATCCAAATGACAAATTTGCATGAGCTGTACAAGATCCACTAAAAGGTAGCAGCTGTTCCCAGAATTTTCAAGATCCTACACTTTTATCTTCTTTAATAGTGCACATTTTGATGTTGAACATTGATTTTCATCTAGATTTAGGATTCGTCTGCAGTAAATATATCGAAGTTTAACATCAGAAGCAGGAAGAATGGCCATTTACAATCTGTCATCCATTAAACTTAGCTCTGATAGTATGTTACCTATCTTTTCTAATAAAATAGAATGTGCTGAAATGTTTACATGTACTTTGATCTCCCTGCATCACTTATAGACCTATATGTTTTATTTCTCCAAACGCAGTGTTCCTGAATGGTGCATATGCTTTTTGCAGTATACAAGTATTCACCATGTATGTGGCCAGATGCTCTGTACTTTGAAATATTGCCTCTGCCTAATGTGGGTTGACTTCTGAATTGTGGAAAGCAGTATTCCAAGCCAGTCATATTTGTCACTTTATGTTCCAATATTTTGCTCTCTGATAGGAAAGAAATAATTAAAATTTATCAGTCCTCTTACTCCCTTTTACCCTGCTCTACTATCTGTCTTGAGTTTCCTTATCAATTCTTCCTTGTGCTATACACAAGCGACATCCAGAACTGGGTGGTTCTGTAGCTTCCAGAACCTTTTTTCATTGTCTTAAAGTTGATGCTGCTGCTGGAAATGTTTATAATATTCTTCTGCTCAAAGGTGAACTAGGAAAGGTGTCATGGGCAATGATTTGAAATAATTTTCCAACTCTGTGGAATGTTGGGAATTTAAACTTTTTTGTTTTTTAAGACTTAAAGGAAGTGTTGACATTTCGGACCCAGTCACGTTAGTATGACTTTTGGACCCTGATGTTTTTAAACTCTCAAAAGGAAAAGCAGAGGGGAAAGTACACAAGTGAGTGGACACCATTTGAAAACCCTAGCATGGATCTCCAGGCATGTTTTCATGCCCACCCTGTCTCCCCTTCCCTGAGCACTGAATTTAACTCCCTCCAACTCCCTGAGAGATCAAGAGTTGGGGGTGGGGGTTTAGTTTCTGGTTCAGATAGTAAAATGCAGAAGCCAACCAGGCCAATGATGATACCAAATGTAACTCCTAAGGTGGCTTTCACAGTCCACTGGGTTGGGTTCAAGTGACTGAGTAACAAGTTCTGTGGCATTGATGTACCTGCCCATTTCCTGTTCAAAAGCCTGTCAGAAAGCATTCTTTATGGGAAAACAACTTATATTGTTAAACTCCTGACCAATGCTCTTAAAAATATGTATGTAGTCATTGGGATGTTTTTTCCTCAATATTTGTATAATTTGCTCACTGTTTTTGTGCTGAGTGAGGTCCTTTGTGCTTCAGACAAAAATAAATGAGATGTTGTGTCTACATTATTTTTTGTTGTGAGTTCATCAAGCTGACAGACCTTTTTTGTCCTTTTAACATGAATTTAAAAATAGAATGTTTAACTGTGGTCAACATATGCCTCCCATTCCGATTGTCACAAGACATAGCTTTAAAAATTAAGCCATAATGATTGTTTTCAATAATAATATGCTCATTATTTTAAAACTTGTGACAGGAAGCAGCAGTGAAATTGGTGTATAACAGCATTCTTTAGGTTCTGAGCAACTATGAAGCATTTTGTTTCTTCTAAAGAGAAATTTATTCAAAATATCGAGATGGGAATTTGCATTTTCGAGGTCTAGCCTTACTGTGTGTGTGTCTGTCCTAGCCAGGGCACACAATTTGGACACAGACACAAGCAGATTATTACATGACCCAAACTCAGGATTGAAATATAGTAAGGTTTATATATAAATATTTCCCAGAAGTAAAATAAGCTCATGATAGTGCTTTTAAGAATCCATGAAGAAATGACTCAGTTAAAGGAATGAGACTTGGGCCTCCTTGGTGGTGCAGGGGTTAAAGACAGCACTATGAAGTTATTCACAGCCACTGCAGCATGAGTTCGATCCCTGGCCAGGGAGCTAACCCACATGGTGCAGCAGACCTCTCCTGTCTCTCCCACTGCTCTCAGCAGTGAAATACAGTAGATCTACCTGCTCTGCTCCCCACTCTAGTTAATCCACACACCCTCCTTCCCATGTACCTATAATCGATAGCCCAGTTCTTGTATGCATAAATAAATAAATCTTAAAAAAAAAAGAAATGGGACTCATTAGTTTTCACTTATTCCATCTTTAAGTGGAATAAGGGAAGTGGTCGTGCTTTAAAGGGATAGAGCATTATTTTAAACTGTGGTAATTTTTCTCACTAATTCAAGCTCTTCCCTTTTTACCAAAAAGTTTTCCTAAATCATGGCAAAAACACATAGATTTTGTCATACTTGAGTTTTTCATGCTTCCATAATAGTGGATTGAGTCTGTATTTCAGGGTGGGAATTCAGATAGGTAGGTGGCCAAAGGAGCAGACAAAAACTTTTATAGGGACATTCTTCAGTGATTGCTTAGAGAAAAATAAAACATTTTGCCTCAAGGGAAAAAGTGATCAAGAAAATAGGAACAGATAATGTGGAATTTCCCAAACCACCTGGGCCTTTCTCAAATGCCCAGATTCTATACAACCCAACAGGAAATTAAATCGCCATCAACAGAAACAAAACATAAAGTCTTAAGAATTAAAATAAGAAAAAGGCCCTGGAAACACTGTTGTACAGATGATGAGAATTTTATACACTTACTTGAAAAGTGAAATTTGTAGCTTCACTGTGAAATTCATTTTTGTCCTTTTCATCTTGGGGTTTCTCCACATTGGACTTTTACTTTACTGATGTCAAAAAAAAAAAAATCCATAAATGAACAACCCAAGGAAGCAGTTTACATTTGTTTTTTTCATTTCTAAATTTGTTTCCTGGAGCACTTGAGACACTCATAACACCTTAGCATTTTGTTTTTCTCTTTCCTTCTTGCAAAAGCAGATTCCACCCCTACCTCAGTTAGGGAACAAAGGCAGAGATGGCTTTGTGCTTGTAAATACTTTGAAAACCTTGACCGTGAAGCACATAAACAGATAAAGGGATGAGAAGCTTTTTGTTATTTCAAAGGATAAATTATGAGGCTCAGAAAAAAAGAGTGCACACACTTCTTTCAATTTCTGAGCACTTTCTTCCTGGCAGCACTATGAAAGATGAATCAGGCTTGGCAAATTATGTATTCTGGATTAATTTATATAACCACAACAAACCCTGCAGCATCATAAACATGTCCTGGCACAATGAAATGCATGCTAGGTATCCAGTAAAATTGTATGGAAGTGATTTGGAAGTTTAGGTGCAAAGAAAACCTATGGTTGTTTGTGTCATTGTTTTAAGCTAAGTGATAGATCTTTTGATGTCCAGAATAATTGCATTATCTCTTGCTAGTGGATTATTAGTTGTGATTTATGGGGGGGTGGCAATCCCCTTATGTAAAAAGTTGCACAAAATTTTCATGTTCCCTTAAAACTATCTCCCAGTTAAAAAGTCAGCATCAATGCATGTAAGATCTTCACTGAATGTTATTTGTGGTATTGTAAGACCATTTAGCATGGTATAATTGAGCCCAAAACAAATGATAATTGATCAATCATGTTGCCTTGAAATGTACATAGCTGTTCTCTTATGCTTTTCAATTCTTGGTAAAATTGACTATTTAAAACAGTTAATCCAGGGTCCTCCCTGGTGGTGCAACCTGTTAAAGCTCAGCACTGTGAAGCTATCGGCAGACGCTTTGGCATGAGCTCAATCCCTGGCCATGAGCTGACCCACATGGTGTGGCAGACCTCTCCTAACCACCCCCCCACCCCGCTGCTCCCCTCAGCAGTGTATTTCAGTAGATCTGCCTGTTCTGCTCCCCACTCTGTCTCTGGTGAATCCTCTCACTGGCCCCACACCTCTTGCTTGTACCGCAGTCCTATATACATAAATAAATAAATCTTTTTTTTTTTTAAAGAAAAGAGCATAACAACAAAGACATCTATGTTAATAACAACGGTTAGTCCATACTTGTAGGAAGCATCAGAATGTCCTATTAAGTAACATTTCATTTAGGAATCTGGTAAGTTTGAAACCACATTCATTCTGATTTCTGAGAAGGGCATAGTAGCAGGAGGAACAGGCCAGCTTTGAGAAACTCACAGTCTGGGGGATGTTTGTGATGGGAGGATGAAGACAAGTCATTATATCAGTTCAGGACAGATACAGAGCAACCTAAACACACCTGGGGGAGCTGTGTGTGGTGGTGGTGGTGGGGGAGAGTGGAGAACAGAGGGCAAAAGCTGTGCATTCTCCCCGAGAAAGTGACAGTTGAGCTGGGAAGAGGACTGGGAATTTATTTTTCTTGTGAACACTTCATAAAAGATAATCCAAGTAGAGTATTGAGCATGAACAATAGCAGCCTTTAATGGAGAACTTGGCCTCTGGAGAAAGAAAGATGAGGATCAGGTAGACTATTCCAGGGACCATATGGTGCTGCTACAAAATGAAGGTTTCCAGGCCCTTCTCGGAGACGCTGCTTTAATGGTCAGGACTGTGCTCCTGAATATGTGTTAGGAACAAATACCTTGGTAAAGTCCCAAGTGGGTGATGAGAACACTCTGGCGATGCAAGCCAGGTGTGAGTACAGGTGTGAAGTGCTGAACAGAAGACGCAAGGCTTTCTGGGTTCAGAAACCCGGGGCTTCATGTGCAACAGGCTATTTTCCTATTGATCATGCAGGTCTCTTGTTAACATTACAAGGCTGCACCCCAGCTGGTAGGGGAGAGACGCCAGCAGCTGTACTCTTACCCCTAGGGGAAACCCGAGAGAGTGAACCCTGCCCATAAACACCCAAAGGCCTCTTCTTGACTGGGATTTAGGAGAGATGGTGGACCACTGAAGTGGGGTCACTCCCTGATCTCAGTGGGGATCCTAGGGCTCTCTGCCATCTTGTGGGTGACTTCAGTATCCTCTGTTGGCCCCAGTGATTTAAGCTTTGTTTCTGTAAATAGCAAATTATAGAACACAGACTAAAATCTTTTCTAGTCTCTTTTCTCACCCCTGCTATGAATAAGTTCCTTAGAAGTGGGTTATAAACTTTGAAGTGGCTATTTTCTTCTTAAGTGAATGAAAGATAAGCAAATATCACTTCATAAGGCCTGTGGCAGCCTCTCCCCCAGCCTTTCTGGAGCCTCTACCCTCTTCACCACAGGCCCCACTGTGGTGCCCAGGATCCTGGACCAGACTCCACTCATGGGTCTTCTTTTCCCTCAGGTAAAAGTACTGGGGAATGTGCACATGGCACAGCCCTGGGTGAGATTCCAGGAAAGTGAGATTTATAAATGGTGGCTGATTGTGTTGGAGAGGCACCCACAGTTCTGTGACTCTGGGCTGGAGGCCAATTGCCTTGGATGTCATGATCTTCAGGCGGCAAGTCCTAAGAGAAGTAGCATGGATCACTGGGTCACAACTGGAGAAGTGGTGCCCTGTCCAGTAATACCCAGGTTGAAAGGGCACAAATTGCCTCACAGAAAGCCCAGTGCCAACCCTTCAGTGCTGACCCTCCCCACAAATCAAGGAGCCTCCAGGAGTGGGGAAAGCCAGGCGAACTTTGTGGCTGGATCAGGCTTCCCTGCTGTCAGAGAAACCTTGAACTCGGGAGAATAAGACTCACCTGGGATGTAGGTACAGCGTCCTCTATTACAGAGTGCCCTGCTATTATGTCCAGATGTGCTCATAGGCAGAGAATGGGGTACTTTGGTGGAGGTTTCCTGAAGATCCAGGCCAAGACAGAGTGGTGAGAGATTGTTAAGGGGAAGGATGTCCTAAAGGAACTCTGCAGAGTCTTGTGGACTCCACCCCCTACTCCAGCTTTCTGGACTCGACCCCCCTACTCCAGTGATTGAAAACTACAACTCCCAGCAGTACCAGGGAGAGAACTACGAGTACCCAAGGGCAGAGCTAAGCAGGCATTCTGGGACTTTGGGGGGTAAATAGGGCATCATTTGCTATGGCTCTATCGCTTTAGAAATGGCTCTCTGGACGGCGTGACTCAAGGCTTTCAGTTAGTTTGTTACCAGAGCTCTAAGTCAACCAAGATGGTAAGTTACTCCAGTTGTTGTTACCTTTTCTTTTACCCTTTTGGTAAATAAACCCATTTTGACCCTTTTGTGTGTGCCCGCAGTACAACTGAATGTTAAGCGCGCAGGTGAGACTTTAACTGGGTGCCCTGTAACAAGGTCATGGCTGTCCTGTCACTGCAGTCAGCGTCTTCCACTTGCCCATTGCACTGGACAAACAGCATCACCTTATGTGTAAACGGGGAGCGGTTTAGACAGACTGTACTGCATTGTGGTACCTGACCCCAGCCCACTGACCCTGTCCCATTTGCCACATGCTTGTTGGTTTACAA